ATCTCTTTGGCCAAGCATTCAAATAATGCATCTCAATAATCTTTTACTGCAGTTATATCTGATCAAATGCACATTATTATTCTTTAGTTTGGGTTAAACAAATCAATTTTGCTTTGTTGGAACAGCAGCTACGCTAATTATGTCTCTATTTGTTTCTCTGTTTTTGCCACGGGATGTAACTTAGGATTTACACAAGCTTCAGTCTGGATCCAGAACACCTGAGAAGAGATGATGCCAGCCCCTCAGAGGACCTCAGATGATGCCAACCCTGAAACAACATACAGAACTACCACATTTTGCTATAAGTTTGATTGCATCATATAATAATTGCTGTTAATAGTGTTCATCGTCTGTTTGATTACGTCTTTAATTGATTTTTCCATACATTTCTGCCATATGTACATTAACTGACAGTCACCACTGATAAGCTACTACTAAATATATTGTAGAAAACTCATTTGCTGTAAAGTTGCTTTGCAACGATTTGTATTGTGAAAAGCGCTATACAAATAAACTTGAATTGAATTGAAAGAGTTTGTCAAGGCTTTCATTTGCGGCAGGGTGAATTAAGACTCTTTATGGCCCCCAGACACCCTGTTCTGGTGAGAATGACAGACTTCTTGAGTGACTACTTCAAATTCACATTGATCTGCCTCCACTTTTGACTGCAACGAACATCTCAAAATCCAATCGACAACTGGTGGTTTTTATTTTTCCCCAGGAATTTAATACATTTGAATGCATGTCACAATATGAAAGAAAAGATCTGCCATTACTTCCATTGCATTGCAACTTTAAATAAGAGTCGGCAATGATGATATCTCTACAAATTTAATATTTACACATTTCACAAATTAATTATCCATTATAACCGTATCACAAAATCTAATTATAGTAACTTATAAAAAAGCATTTTAGCTTTCTTAGGATAACAATTAACATTAAACCTGTTGTTCAACTGAACAATGTGCAATAATTATGGAAAATCAGACAGATCCACATTAATAATGCATTTGGAAACAAAACGAAACAGATGTCTATCCATCAGGTGTGTATATTTTAATGAGGTGCTGCAGTCCTGAAGGGTAGCCAGTGAGGGGACACCTGTGATTGGCTTTAACATACACATATATACACTTGTAACAAAACACGTAGCCTGAAGTGGCCAGCGCGGTGTCATTGGTGCGCACTTTCCTGCAGAGCGGGCAGACTTTGATGTGTGAGGGTGATGTCTCCTGGCTGTGAAGGTGGAGAGGCGGCGGAGGGGTTGGAAGGGAGGTCAAGGATTTAACGGTGCTCTGGTTCTCGGATGAATACCACCACTCCAGGAACTGCAGGAAAAACACTCCAATCGAGAGGCTGCTTGACAGAGACACAGCCACACCACCAACCGCTGCAGAGACCAAGCGCTGAAATTTCTCTCGAAAGCTGAAAAGAGAGATTTTTGCTTTAATGAAATGTCTTTATATTTTGGTAAACCTCTAGAAAAGAATGTAGCATAGCCTCAAAATAAACTCACCTTTGACTGGGACTCAGTGCCGGGCCCGATGGCTTAAGATCCAGGCTGCGTATGTCATTAGCCGTGAGATATGAGAGTTTAACCCCTGCCAGCCACAGAAGCGGAGAATGTGTCCGTGTTTTGCCGAAAACATACAAAAGCTGTTGGCAAAAGACCCAGCCATCCCAAGCCATGCACACAAAGGGGTACGCAGCCAAAAAAGCCCTGTACAACTTCTGCATGAAGGACTGAGGCAAGCGGATGGAGAAATCGTCCTCGTCTCTCTGTCGAGCCAGGATTTTTTCCAGTTTGGTGTGTAGGTAAGGAAGGAGGGCCAGAAGGAACAAGGAGCGCCAGTGCTGTCTGCGGCGGAGTCCCAGATGAGCTGCATGTGTGCTGTCTTCTCCTACACGCTTCAGACCGTAGAAATTCTCTGAAAATGAGGCGCTGGTGCGGGAAAGGAAATGATGCTGCAATAAGACGTCCAGGATAGCATAAATCTCATCAAACCTCCTCCAAAGAACTCCATAGCGAGCGGGGTTAGACGTAGCAAGGATCTGTGGACAAAGACAGGGTTTACACATCAATGTTGTTCAATGCCAGTAAATACTGTAAAGTTTATTTCATTACTATATTTTAATATATGTAAAACAACAGAAGTATGTTTGCAATGGTATGCTAGGGGTTCCATGGAAATGTACAGAGAAAAAAGAAGTAAAAAAATAATAAAAATAAGATTAAAACAACATTTATTTCAAAATCTGATAATAAATGAAAATTAAATTAAACTGATAAGATAAATAAATATATAATATACAACAGTACAGGACTATATTAAATGTAGCTTATTATAAACTAAATATTTTCCAAATTATGTTTTAGACGTATAATAAAATTTTTGTTTTCACAGTACAAATTCAGTCTTTATAAAAGAAACTCTATAGATGTCTTTTACATTTTATCATGTGGATCTATCACATGCGAAAGATCATATTTGGGGGTCTGTGGCATCTAAAAGATTGAAAGCCCATGGCCTATGCTCACAGATGTGGTTATTTTGTGTTTAAACATTTTGTGTAAATAGCTTCAAGCAGTCCAATTCAGCCTGGTTCATTCTTCTCGCTGGAGATGAAAGGTCAAGTTGAACCCACTGCATTGTGGGATACAAGTTTCAAACACAAGTGTTCTTGGATTGTATTCTGCTCATTATTGTAAATACAGTGAGTGATAAGGTATTCAGTGCGTATGGGCACAGTATACATATACTGCTAGTATTGTATTTCGCACACAGTTTACGTTCTTGTGATTCACTTTACAATCTGTCTGGTATATTAGAGCATGAGGCAAAGATAGATGTTTGGAAGCAAGATTAATCTTATACCATAATGTCATTTACTGTACAGTGGTGGCAAATGCAGTACAAATTACAAAATATATTAAATGCGTACGCATACCTTCACAGCATGCAGTAATGCAGGTTTAACAGCACTCATCAAAGAGTCCTGAGCTAAAACCTCAAATACGGAGGGTCTGTCTTCAGCCGGAGCCGCTGTTGTTGTTAAATGTGCTCCTCGCTCTGCCATTACACTGGGATCAATACAGATGTGAGCAAGCACGGAGAACTTTACAGTTCAGACAACAACAAAGCGAGCGGAAATGTTATGATTAGTCCTACGAGTCTTTTAATAGTAATATTTTCATCGTTTTATTAAACAAGACAATTTGGGCAGAAATTACACTGCACAAAAACAATGCACGACGTAACGGCCACAACCTGAAACAATACTTTTTCTTTTTCCTGTTACTGGCGTTCTTCTTCTGTCATCTTTTAAGGCAAGAAAATAGGTTCACATTGCCACCTACTGTGCTGGGGTAGTCTATAAAATATTCTATTCTATTCTGTTCCACTGTTTCTAATGAATAGATTCTGAAACAGTCAAGAAAACTATACATTTCTCAATAAAAAATTAAAAGCAAAAACGTCAGATAGTAATGTCAAACTTCAAAACCAATCTTTATGCATTTTAATTTTTTTAAGATGCAGTGACTTCCGAAAGTATTCATACCCCTTCATTTATTTCACGTTTTGTTATGTTGCAGCCTTATATTAAACTGCTTTAAATTACTTTTTTTTCCCCACATCAATCTACACTCCATACACCATAATGACAAAGCAAAAACAGAACTGTCACAACTTTGTAAATTTATAAAGAATAAAAAGACTGAAATAAGTACATTACAAAAGTATTCAAACCCTTTACTCACTTAGCTGAAGCACCTTTACAGCCTCAAATCTTTTTGTGTATCATCATTTGGCATTCATCTGCTATTCTTCTTCTCGCCTCTTCACCTATCAAGCTCTGTCAGGTTGGATGGGGGCAAGACGCACATTTTCAGGTTTCTCCAGAAATATTTGATTGGGTTCAATCCCAGGCTCTGGCTGGGCCACTCAAGGACATTCACAGAGTTGTCTATAAGCCACTCTTGCTGTGTGCTTAGGGTCAGTGTCCTGTTGGAAGGTGAACCTTCTGCCCAGTCTGAGGTTCTGAATGCGCTGGACTGGGTTTTCATTAAGGCTATCTCTATTTTGGTTCATTGAGCTTTTCTTCAACTCTGATGAGAGTTGTTTTCTTCAACTCCCTCAGTCCCTGCCGCTGAAAAACAGCCCCACAGCATGAGGCTGCTGCCAGCACACTTTACTTTTGGGATGGTGCTCTGCAGGTGATGAGCAGAGTTGGATTCCTTCAAACTCGATGCTTAGAATTGAGGTTCATCAGACCAGAGAATCTTGTTTCTCAGGGTGTATTCACACCAGGAAAGTCCGCTAGTTCACTTGCTTTGGTCTGGACCAAATACAATGTTGATTTTTGTTTGTCCTTCTGTAGGTTTCTCCCATCTGCATATATGATCATGGAGCTCAACTAGAGTGACCATCAGCTTCTTGGTCACCAGTCTAACCAAAGCCCTTCTCCATCAATTGCTCAGTTTTGGCCAGCTCTAGGAAGAATTCTAGTTGTTTCAAACGTCTTCCATTATGGATAATGAAGGCTACATGGTCCTGTTAACCGTCAATGAAGCATAATGTTTTTCTGAACTCTTCCCCAGATGTGTGGCTTCACGCAAACCTGTCTCTGAGCTCTACAGGCAGTTTTTTTTACCTCAGGGCTTGGTTTTAGCTCTGATATGCATTTTCAGCTGTTAGACCTTTTATTAAGATGTGTGTGCCATTCCAAATCATACCCATTCAATTGAATTTGCCACAGGTTAAGTTCACTTAAAATGTAGTAACATCTACAAGCAATTTGAATGCTCCTGAGCTAAATTTCAACTGTCCCAGATGAGGGTATGAATACTTATGCAATGGAATCATTTAAGTTTTTTTTATTTTTTAACAAATTTGCAAATATGTTAAAAAACAGTTTTTTGCTTTGCCATTATGCTGTATGGAGCGTAGAATGATGTGGAAAAAAAAGTAATTTAAAGCAATTTAGTAAGGCAGCAACATAACATGGAAAAAAAAATAAGGGGTATGAATACTTTCGCAGGGCACCGTATATAAATTGTTTATATGTGTGTGTGTATGTATAGCCTATACGTTTATGTAATCCTAGTAATCCTATATTATATATTTTAGTGTTTTACATAATATAATTACAATATATGCTTATACATACATACATACACAATTTAAATGTATAGAGCTAATTTGATTCACCTTTGACAAATCTGATTAAAATAAATACTTTGAGATTTTTTGCATCCTTTTTTCTAATTAGAATTATATATATATATATATATATATATATATATATATAAGATTTTATGTAATGTGTGTAATTTTATTATTTAT